CCCCCCCCCCCGCCTCCCAAGTCAGAGCATCGCTAAGCTGTGCTCTATTTTGCACCTCTGTGGCGCCTGACAAGCTCGGATAATATGATCAAGGCTCAGGCTGCTGGGGCTCACACTCACCAGGCGATTGGCAAGGGAGATGACGCCTGCGGTCGCTTCGGCTTCTTGCTGACATCTGAGCTTGTCTGCCGTGGCTTTCTCAAACTTGGCTGTGAGTTTGGCCAGGTTTTCATTAAGGTGCTGTTGAGGAAGCAGCATGAGGTCGATCAGTAATTCCAGCCCGAGTCACCTCTAGTGCTGCTGAGACAGATGCATGTGTCGGTGACTTTTAAGGAAGGCCCCCGGGGGGAAGGTGTAAGGGACTGAGGAAGGCTGGGCAGAGAAGGAAAGGAAGGGAAATCAGGGGTGATCTTGGGGGAGAGTCCGGGTGGATGTCCAGATCAGTCCTGACCCAAGCGAGAGGGCTGAGTTTCCCACCTCAGTGCAGAGCCAAGGAGGGGGGGTGGGTGGTGACAGACATAGAAGGGGGTGCATAAATTCTGTCTCCCCTTGTAGTGGGTTGCAGGAGCCTATCAACGAAGGCCAGGGCTGCTGTTCAAAGCAAAAGTGCACCAAAGGCTGGGGTGGCCTGAAAATGTTCAGGAGGATCCCGGGGGTCCTGGGGCGAAGCACACTGTGTCTGGGGCCGCAGGTCTGTGGTTTGGGATTGGGCTGTCTGCAACCTAAGCCCTCCCCTTGCTTTAAGGTCTTAGGAGTACAGCTCACCTTTGCTTAACCTCATCGATTCTCTCCAATGATCCTGAAGTCGAGGAACGTCTTGTAAAAAGACATAGTTTTAAGGTTGTCTAAATTGATCAAGAATTTAGAATCGACGTGCATAGCTTCTGTTACCCCCCGGAATACACATTTGCATTCACAAAGACACAGGGACACGGGGCACAGCCCTCGAAGTATGTCTCAGGTCACCATGATAATGGAGTCGGGCTGCCTTTTTGGCCATTACCAAGTCACAAGAGAAACCACTCACGGGCCAAGTTTATACAGCCAAGCAGTTTGAAAAGCACGCGGTGAGCTGTCTGATTAATGATGGCAGACTGGCCACACTCACTTACTTCCTCCTCTCCCCGAGGCCCGCTCTAAAATAATTATGCAACAACTGAAGATGTCAACTCCTTAACACTACGCAATTGTTGAGGGTCACTGGAGGGGGAGGGATTCCAATAGATTTATGGCAGACTGGACTCGTAGAGGAGTGGAAAGTTCCAGAGCAGGGCACAGGAAGCTGCAGTACAGACTGGGCCTCAGTTCGCCAAAGGGGATAGGCACTGGGGATTTGGACACGTCAGGTGTGATGGGGTGGGATGCTGAAAGAAAAAGGGTTTATTGGAAGCTTACTGATCCTCTACCCCCGTCTCCACTCCCATGCTCAGTGTCCAATGCCACCAGGCATCCGTGTCACCAGCAGGGCATTCAACAGCGGCAGAGAGAGGACGCCACATTGTGGCATATGGGACGTAGCCAACAGAACTCAACTGATCCCCAAAACGAGTTCTTCCGGGGAGCCAGCTCTGCCCTTGCCTACAGAGCTCTCACCAGATTTTGAGTTCTTATAAAACACAAAAGACAAAAAGGCATTTGATGAAGCCTGGATGAAGGTAAACAAGAGGGCAGTAAAAGCAACCACCTGAGACAAGAGGTAACGTCAGCCACAGAGAGCACAAGAAAGCCTAAAATCCTTCACGATGAGTTTCTTCGGAAGATTCGAGATGTCTCATCCATAAAACAAGAAGAGGATGCTAGTAAAAGGAACAGGGATTCCACAAAAGCGACTGTGGAAATTACTATTATTGTTGATGTAACAAAAAAATAATAAATTCAAGGGAAGGGGCCCCGTGGGCTCAGTCGGTTGAGTGTGCAACTTCGGCTCAAGTCATGATCTTACAGTTTGTGGGTTCGAGCCCTGCATAGGGCTCTGCGCTGACGGCTCAGAACCTGGAGCCTGCTTCGGATTCTGCATCTCCCTCTCTCTCTCTCTGCCCCTCTCCTGCTCACACTCTGCCTCTCAAAAATAAACAAACATTAAAAAAAGTTTTTTTAATTCAAGGGAAGAGTTAAAAGATGAACTTGAGGAAATTTAGAAAGAATAAGAAAACAAAGTGACTCTGAGAAAAAACGTAGGACTCATCAGAAGGTCCAACTTCCAACAAATATGCATTCTAGAAAATACGATCAAAAAGGAAACAGAAGGGAGATTACTAAAGAAAAAAGACAAAGTAACTTTTTGGAGTGAAGGAAAATAAATCTCCCTGAGCCAAACACAATGAATTGAAAAAGAACGGCAGCTAAGCACATCCATGCAGAGTTTCAGACACCAAGAATAAAGAGAAAGATGGAAACACTTCCAGAAAGGTGGAAACACAGTGCACTGGCAAAGGAATGGGACCCTGACTGTTCACCAGACTTCTCACCAAAGAAAGGGATAAAGCATTCAGGGTTGTAAAGAGGAGAAAATTAGCATCAGAATTCAATACTCTGCAAAATTGTCACATCAGTTTAAACATTTTTTTAAATGTCTATTTACTCTTGAGAGAGAGAGAGAGAGAGAGGAGAGACAGGATGTGAGTGGGGAAGGGACAGAGTGAGAGAGGACACAGAATCTGAAGCAGGTTCCAGGCTCTGAGCTGTCAGCACAGAGCTCGATGTGGGGCTTGAACTCATGAGCCATGAGATTATGACCTGAGCCCAAGTCGGATGCTTAACCGATTGAGCCCCCCAAGCACCTCAATTGGGTCAGTTTAAAAGTCAATTAAAGGCATTTCCAGACTGGGACCCTTCATAAAATTTACCTCTTAGTTAACGTGTCTGAGAAAGTTACTTAAGAAGGAGCTACAACAAACAAGAAATCGAGGAAGGAGAAGGCAGCGGTTCTAGAAGTTCTTGGAACCAACCCAAGAAAGCAGTGAATGTGTTTAATCTCCAACACTGATTGGGGTTTGGAGATGGGGACAAGAGAGAAAGGTCTTGGGAGTAAAAACGGACTTGACAGAATATTGGATTGCACGGAGATTTTAATTGAGGCTAGGGGTGCCTGGGTGGCTCAGCCGGTTGTTTCTGTCTCTTGATTTTGGTTCACGTCATAATGTTGCAGTCGTGAGATCAAGCCTTCTGTCGGGCTCTGTGCAAAGTGCAGATCCTGCTTGAGATTCTTTCTTCCACCTCCCCGCCCACACCCCTTCCTTGCTTGCGTTCTCTCTCTCAAAATAAAAAGTAAACTTTAATAAAAGAGTAATTGAGGCTATACAAAAGGAATTAATGGCAGAGGAAAAAAAAAAATAAAGGCCAGTAGAAACTCCAGGGGGAGGGGAAAAGATCGTATTAAAAAGGAAACGTATTAAAAATAGAAATTGTTGGGGCGCCTGGGTGGCGCAGTCGGTTAAGCGTCCGACTTCAGCCAGGTCACGATCTCGCGGTCCGTGAGTTCGAGCCCCGCGTCAGGCTCTGGGCTGATGGCTCGGAGCCTGGAGCCTGTTTCCGATTCTGTGTCTCCCTCTCTCTCTGCCCCTCCCCCGTTCATGCTCTGTCTCTGTCTGTCCCATAAATAAATAAAAACGTTGAAAAAAAAAATTTAAAAAAAAATAGAAATTGTTTTAAGTAAGAAGCATTATCAGACCTACAAATACCGAGAACAAAGTGGTGGTCGCCAGAGGGGAGGAGGTAGGGGGATGGGCAGAATGGGTGAAGGGGAGCGGGAGATACAGGCTCCCAGTTATGGAATGGGTAAGTCACGAGGACAGAAGGCACAGCATGGAGAATACAGTTGATGATGCTGTAATAGCTTTGTATGGTGACAAGTCATAGCGACGCTTGTGCTGAGCATAGCAGAACATACAGACTTGTCTAATGACTATGCTGTCCACTCGAAAGTGAATGTAACACTGTGGGTCAACTATCCTCAAAAAAGTTTTCTTTTTTCTTTTTTTTAAAGTGTCTATTTACTTTGAGAGAGAGACAGAGTGCATGAATGGAACAGGGACAGAGAGAGAGAGAGAGAGTCAGAGACACAGAATCCGAAGCAGCTCCAGGCTCTGAGCTGTTAGCACAGAGCCCCACACGGGGCTCGAACCCACGGACAGTGAGGTCATGACCTGAGCTGAAGTCGGAGGCTTAACCCACTGAGCCGCCCAGGTGCCCCATACAGAATTGTTTTATTAATCTTTTTGGATCATTCAATGCTTGTGTATAGAAATGGCGAGTTTTGTGTGTTCATGGTATATCCTTCACGTTTTCAGAATTTGTTCATTAGCTCACATAGCATTTTGTGGTTGTTACCAAGAAATAACAAATGAAAATTTCTACTGAAAAAAGGACATGTAATTCTAATGTATCAGTTAGATCTGCTATGAACAATATAGGTAGGTTCATAGAATATAATTGGAATTTACTGATTTTTCAACTTTTCCGATCAGGGAACAGAGCATGGGACCCTTCATTTTTGGTGGCAGAACAGAATGAAGTCTTGATGATTCAAAAGCAAAAGTAACAATCAGTAATGATAACAGAAGCTGGGAGGGAGGAGTTCGGGGGAAGAGCTGACGGAAAGGGTAATCATCTTTTCTTGAAAACTGAGGGTTCCTATGAAGCTGCCTCTGTGTGAGAGGGCAAGAAACAAAGGCCATGTCAACCAAAAGAAGTTGTCGTGATGGTATCATTGGGGAGACGTGGGGATGAACACCTTAGGGCCTCATCTAGCAGGAAGTCAACTGCCTGCATAAGGTCCATCAAGTAACAGGATGTCTCAACCGACGAATGGATAAAGGTGTGGTTTATATACACCACGGAATACTACTTGGCGATGAGAAAGAATGATATCTGGCCATTCGTAGCAACGTGGATGGAACTGGAGAGTGTGATGCTAAGTGAAGTAAGTCAGGCAGAGAAAGACAGATACCATATGTTTTCACTCATGTGGATCCTGAGAAACTTAACAGAAGACCAGGGGGGAGGGGAAGAGGGAGAAAAAAAAAGTTACAGAGAGGGAAGGAGGCAAACCATAAGAGACTCTTAAATACAGAGAACAAACTGAGGGT